ATCCCTTTTATACTTGATGCCAACTTATCTCTTTGGAGACATGGACCTCAAGTTTTATTTCTGAGAAAAAAGTGAATGGTGTCACAAATGTAGTAGAGGGAGCATATTTGTATTTGTGGTAGACATAATAGGTTTTTGCAGGAACTTAGAAACAGAGTTGTTGTGCATGGAGTGTTTACTTGAGCTCTGTTATGGTCTCCAGGGTTTTGGAACACTCTTGAGGGGAAATGGACTTTGGCTATATGGGTTTGTTTTTTTTGCACTGTATAAGTTACTTGAGATTGTTTTTATAATGGTGTACCAATGAGTTTACTTGGGAATTCTCATTTTTTTCATTATAACTTTGGTTCCAAACTCAAAGATGCCGTCATTCACATATTAATTTGTATTTTCTATGGAGCAAGAGAAGCCTCGAATTTTGGGTTGAATATGAGATTGAATATCAATTTGATTTGCGTAATTGCCATCTTAATATTCTGTCTTTTGAGTGCTTTTATATGATAGGAAGCTTTTTTGTTACTTTTTGCTTGTGTTTCTTGATTCCGCAGTTGAGTGTTTAGGTGAAATATGGAATGGAGGATAGTAAGAGAGGTGTAGGTGTCTTGAGGATAGAAGCCTTTATTTAAGAATGAAGATGTGAAATATTTGGTATCCCAATCATAAGGCCTTTTGTATCAGATTATGGACATATCCATATTGTCACATCTCATCTCTGTTTTAAGCTTCATTGGACACACAGGCTTTGAATCTAAAGCTTCGAATTCCCTCTTTTTTATCCTTTTATTATGTACTCAAAATGGTAAATTTAAGGTGGAGTAAGCAAGGGCTTTTGTTCAATTAATATTACTGTTTTAATATTATTGCAAACAATGCATCAACATAGAAATTAACAAACTGCATATTGTATTGTCTTGTTTGCCTAAAGTGTTTGGCAACTTGGAATACATAATACAAGTCCAAAAAGTGAAACAACAGAACAAATGAATAAACAAAGGGATGGCAGAAACAAAGTCTCTGTTTACCTGGGGGAAACGGAGCCATGGTGTATCACAAACTATTTAAGGGGATGACCTCAATCTTCTTTGGAGCTCCGCACATTCTGTAATGATAAAGCATAGCTCATTGAATTAAGGAAATACTGTAATGATAAAGCATAGCTCATTGAATTAAGGAAATAAAAGAAAATATGAATTCAACCAATTCAATTCATTAAATAATAAAAATGTATGAGGTATTCTGGTGAGTCAATACATACCATATTGTTTTTGAACAGATGTTGTATGGTGGAATTAAGGTTACCTTCCCAACATTCTTCAACTTCATTCTCTCCTTCTGTCAATTGTAGTTTTTGCAGCTTTGTTGTGCTTAAAACTCCATGACAAAAAGTCTCCATCTTCAAGCATTGTCTGACAATTACTTTTTTCAAGGATGGGAATTCAAGAGTATAATCCCCACAACAAAAGCTTTTAAGGCTGGACAAACAGTGAAGTTCCAAACAATCCAATCTGTTGAAAACAATTGGATCCTGCAGTGCTTCATCTCCCAAATGTGTTATAATTTCCTCCATCATTTTGCAATCAGATAAATTCATCCTTGCAAGTCGATCCAGAGTTTTAGCTTTTAAGGGGGTCAGTAAATATCTCAATCCATCACATTTTGAAACTTGCAAAGTCTTCAAATTCTGTAAAGACACTGATGATGACCATGAATTTTCTAAACTGCCACATTGTGATACTTTTAGAGTCTTCAAATTTTTAAAAGCATTGCTAGGCTGAGAATTTCCTCTCCATAGATGCAACAACATGGGCATTTCACATAACTCTAGTTCTTCCAAGCTTGGGAATGCATCCTGGGAAATAGTCAATCACCAAAAAAAAAAAAAAAAAAAAAAAAAAAAGAAGTGTTGAAACCAAAAAGAAGAATGGTTAGTTTATGGATAGCACTAATATGGTGAGATAGAGATATATGAGAATTACTTCATTGATAATGATAATGATCAGAGTTTTCTAGTAAGAAAAATATTTTCAATTATGAAATACTACACATTTCACATAAAATTCACGCATTGTTAATAATAAATATGTTTAACATAATCTTTAAGAGATTAAATAAGAAAGAGAGGCAAAATCAAGAAAATTTTGAGAATGCCTTACTTGAGTTGTAGACATGATTTTCGAGTATTGTGCCTCATAATTGTAAACAAGAATAGTGGTTGTTGACTTTCTCCATGAGTCCCTCGGATTCCAAAAATTCTGAAGCAAATATCTCAACATTATCACATCCATGTACGTTCAACTTAATTAAATTGGCCATTCAGAATATGCATTTTGGGTATAAACTTTTGAGACTCGGTAGCATTGTAGAGACAGAAGGCTAAGTTCGAGAACACAAACTTAGGGACTGCTTCCTCCTTTCAACAATTTCCTCCACCTTAGGCTTTTCTCAAGACTTGAATATCTCTTCAACGAATCACATTTTGTACATCCAATGACAAGTTTCTGGTGTCTCCCAAGCATTTAGATGGAAAAACACTTGCAAGTCTTACAAAGTATACAACACACTTTTTATTTTGCAAAGGAATCCAAAGAGACTTGATCGTCCCAAATTTTACCAATCATCAGCATGAGTGATTACAATCTCTCCAAACTAGGGAATCTTACCTGAAGAATTCATTTACCAATTACAATTACGACATAACCATCCCTTATTAGTGATCTAAAATATAAATTAGCTATGATTAAAATGAGAAAATAGATAGGAAAGAGAAAATTGAAAACAAAATAAGGGACGGATAACCTTATCAAAAAGGATTTCATGCGAGTATAGTTCTCCTTTGCACTCATCTTCATTTTCTTTGCTTGATGATGTCATCCCACCACATATAGAATTGGAGATGATGTTTGAATAGCAGGGCATTTTTAATCCAAAGTCTGAATAAGGAGGAAATTTCAAAAATATTGCAGTGGAGTTGTAGAATGTTGTGAGTTTTGGAAGCTCGTGAGCTTCAGCTCGTATAATTTAGGAACAACATCTACTGATCCTCTTCATCTTCATCTATTACTCTTTCCATGAACTTACAGTTAGATATCTCAAGCTTCTTCAGTTTGAAAAGACTTTTGACCATTGAAAATGGGAATAAATATTTTAAATGATCAAAGCCATCGATGACCAAGTTTGTTAAATTCTGGAAGCAAGAAGGTGCTTCCAAGCTGGGTAACACAACCTGCATGCATATAAAATGTTTTTTTTCAGAAACAAAAACTTTATTTTGTTTCTAAAATATGTGAATTTCTTTATTAAAACTTATCATCGTGGAAAAAGAATTGAAGCAGACTTACCTTTACGGTGAAAAGAGATGCAAGATGGATGCTAAACTCCTTCATATGTATCTTTTGACAGTCCTTAACGATAATAGTTTCCAAGGGAGGACATTCCAAAATTTCACTTCCCGAATAGAAGCTTGTCAAGTTAGGCAATGACTCAAGCACAACAGAGTTTAATTGAGGGATTACGATTTTATCACTCACTGCATCCTTTTGCGGTTCCTTTTTGATGATCACTTCTATCAAAACACAGTTTTTCACTTCTATCTTCTGAAGTTGAACAAGACCCAACAACATAGACGGTGTAAATATATATCTCAAGTTGTTGCAATTGTCAATTTTCAAAGATTTCAATTTCTTTAAGCCCAGAATTTCTTGACGATTTTCCTCCAAATCAAACACTTGTTCTAGTGACTCACAACTTCTTACATCCAACATTTCCAGATTTTTGAAGCCGCATAACACATTGGATGGAATAGCACTTGACATATCTGAAAAGTTATCCACTTCTAATGACTTTAAATTCCAGAGTAAGTCGATTGGTACCTGACCATTCCATAATTTTTCTTTCAAGTTGGGGAATTGAGAGAGTGTCAAATGTTCAAAGCTACGGAAACCAACCTGTGAAACCCAAAATATTGGATTAAAATATTGAATTTTGAAAGACTAAAACATAGAAAAGTATTTGAAGCTTAACAAAATGAATATTTATATATGAATGTCAATGAAATTTTAATATTGGATGTGCTAACTCATAATAACAAATTTCATGTTGATGTAGCAAAAAACTACATCCCTATTCTATTATTCTAAAACACAAGTAGTCACACTGATTGGAATCCAAAGTAGTATTTCACTAAAAGATTAAAAAAATAATCATTTTGTACTTCTTTACAGCTTTAATAAGTGCCCCTCTATGATAAGACCACCTGAAAGTTGGACATAAAAAGCCATGGAACGATTGGAAATCTAATGCTTTTACTTATTAGACATGAACCAAAGAAAATAGCCACTAAATAGCTGTAAATATATAATAACAACAAAATGAAAAAAAAAAAAATAGTACAAAATTATAAATCATATTATACTAATCTTTTTTCATGCAATTTTGCACAACAAATATCATTTAGTTTCGTCTTTGTAATCTACTTTGAAACTGTGTAAGAAAAAAAATGTACATGGTCCGAGTTGTAAGTAGTTCTCAAATAAATTTAACCAAGGCATAATGACCCTTATAAATGTTCAAAAACAGTTTAGCGAAAATTTTGAACTAAGTATCAATGTACGCTTTTCAAACTTGCTTACCATGTAATTGATTTGTACATGCCATAGTAGATTGAGATTCGTGGAATCCTAGAATTATAAATTTTTAATTGAAATAGGAGTTCGGCAACTTTTCATCCTAGTCTATAAAAGATAATAGCTCTTGTAGTCATGATTCTGGCACTATTGCATTAATCTCTATCATTAATTCAAAATTATAATATAAACAATATCATAAATAGTATTACAAATCATCATATATATTAGTAGTAATATCTGTAATATATATATATAGCAATGTTGTAAAAGGAAAGAAAATGATTTTGTTAAAGAATAAATACCATATTTGTAAACATTTGCTTGATAGTGGAGTTGAGGTCCTCCTTCCAAAAATATTCTGGGTCATCCTCTCTCGTCAATTGTACTCTCTTTAGCAAAGGTGTGCTTAAGACTCCCTGAGAGAAGATCTTTAATTTTGGACATTGACTCACAATAACTTGCTCCAAACAAGGGAATTTGAAGGAATAATTGGTTGAGCAAAAGAATGTGAGGCTTGATAAACAGTAAAGCTCCAAAACTTTCAATTGGCCAAAAACAATATCCTCTTCTTTGTCCCCCTCCTTGGCTATTATCTCTGTCACTAACTTGCAGTCTCTTATTGTCATTGTTGTGAGATTAACAAGAGCTTTGGCTGCTGAGCATGCAAGTATGTTGACTAGTCCATCACAGCTCCAAGTCTCCAGAGTTGTAAGATTTTTGAAAGACATTGCGGTTGGCATCAAAATTGTCAAATGACGGCATCTAACTACTTATAGAGTTTGAAGATTTTGAAGAAATGTGTCCCCTTGTAAATCTTGTTTCCATATATGTCCTTGTTCATAGGGGAATAGGTCTTTGAAACTACTATCATAAAACAAAAGTGATTCCAAACAATTTAACCTTTGAAGGAAACCAGACAGAGAAGCAACAGATTCATCATCAAAGTTACCCAGAAAAAGTTCTTTAAGTTTGTCAAAGCTCTTAGCTAAATCACAGTGGAGGAATGTCAATTTGAAGTCATGTGCATCTAAACCCAACACTTCCAAATTCGGTATGACCTGAGAATTGATGAACAAGCAAATAAGTAGGTGTTAGCATTCACTCATCAACAAGTTCACCGATATACACAAAAATACTACGATTTTTTCATATATATGGTACAGGTGTCACAAGTTATCATTATTGAGAATGCAAACTGTACTCAAACAACAAACAAATGCTGGATTCTTAGTTTCTAACTGAAACTGCAAAAGTTTGTCATGTTTCGCACCCAAAATCAAGTTGCAAGTCAAGTGGCATAAGGTAGTTAGGCAAGTTGATCAAGTTGTTGAAGGTTGTTATGCAAGTTGGTCAAGTTGCTGAACAAGTTGATTTACTTCCCAGCAAAATCAACGGCAGTCAAGAATTTTTTTGTTTTTCTGTTACAACTTAATGGTTGATATCTTCTTCCATTTTTTGTTCAGTCATTTACAATATAAAAGAACATCCCCTGTACTTGAAAACAATTAATGAAAAATAGTTGCCATTTCTACCTTGTTTCCCTATTTTTTAAATTCTTAGATCACCAAACCTTCACTCTAAACTGCCTTTACAATCATTAATTAGTAGTACAACTAATTATAAGCAAGTAGAAACATATATAACCAGATCTTTAATTTGGAAATAATGTAAATGGAAATGTACAAGGCAAAAGGTCTTATTTACTTTTATGAGCCAAATTTTAATGCAGGAAATAAGAATTTGGTTTATGATGTGTGGGTTTGATATTACCAACAAAATTTCTCCAAATGATTATGTTATTTAGATATTTCAAATAACTAAATAAATAAATATGTTATAATGTTAATATACACTTTAAACAGGAATTACATAAATGAACAACAATTTTTAATCAGCAAAATGAATAATATCTCACAGCTGAAACATTCAATTGATTATTATACATCAACTCGATGGATTTAAAGAGAAAAAATATTATCAGATTAAGCGATGATCAGATTAATCTGAATGATCATAAACATGTTGCATTTTTTAGTGAGTATGGATGAAATTGAAATCATACCTTTTCTAACAGAAAAATGGCAGGTTGGCTTTCCCCATCATCTTTCCTTTGGAGGCTAGGAAATTCTGAAGCATATATTTTTATCTTCTTGCAGCCATACACAGCCACAAGTTTTAGCATTGGCCACTCTATTGTATGGAACCCTGGGTAGAAACATTTGAGTTCTGGTAAATTATGGAGAGAGAATTTTGTTAATTGTGGAAAAAAAAATCTAGGGGCCCCGTTAACTTCCTCCTCAGAAACAATTTTCTCCAACCCACAGGAGGCTAAGTGAAGGTGATTAAGTTGCACGAGACCAGTAGCTATAGTAACCGGAAAGGCACTTCTCATACTCCAACAATTTTCCACGGTTAGCTCTTTCAGATTGTGAAAGGTGAGAAGTCCGTGAGAATTAGATGGAACAATAGTCTTTAACTTTTCACAGAATTCGACTCTCACTTCTTTTAGTTTGCAAAAGGATTCCACATGGAGTTGTTGGTTGTTCCATATCAATTGCAAGTTATCCAAATGTAATAGTACCATCACCTCCAAGCTTGGAAAAGCAACCTGTAGCAAACAATCCATGATGTCAATATTTTTGTATAAAAGACCCACAATCTTACGATGAGAAAGATGTCCAAATATTATGTAAGGTTGATTTGCTCTCAAAATCGAAAAACGTTTTGAAAGCAATAGGCAACATAATTTTTTAGTATAAAGATAAATCATCTTTTCATCAAAAAGAGGGTTTATATCAATAAAGTAGTTCTCCCAGTTCAATTCTTCTTTAGGTTCTTCTCTCACCGTGCCTGGAGAAAAAGATTTGCAGAAGAATGTCTTCAAATTAGAGCAACCATCAATATGAAGTTCATTTAAAGACGGGAATTCGATTGAATTTCCGATGCCAAAAGTCACAAGTTTTGGCAGAACTTCAAGCTTCAGGTAGAATAGTTTCGGAAAACTCATATCAATTATCCTTTCTTCTCCTTCCTCCCCTTTTGAGTCAATTATTACTTCCATTGACTTACAGTTGCCTATCACAAGTTTATGGAGTTGGTTAAGACTTCTGACCATGGAGGATGAAAACAAAAATTTCAAGCCATTACACTCCTCCACGGTTAAGCTTTTTAAGCATTGACTATAAGAAGACATTGTCAAAGGTTGATCAAGCCATGTATTCTCAATAGTAATTGAGCACAGTTTCAAGTTCTCCAATCTTGGAAAGACAACCTGTGGAAATAAACCTTGTTCGTAAACATAACTTATAAACTAATAAGAAAACTCCTTTTTACATCAAAATAAAATAAAAGATGAAAAATACAAAACATACCCTCATGTCAGAGTCAATCTTTATGAATTGTGATAGACGTTGTAGTGTTAGAGAACACAATTGATTGAACTCAATCTTATCATTTGTTTCAATTTCATCACCATGGTCTTTACTTTCTTCACCAAAAATCTCTTTTAGGTTCTTACAATCAGTTACTTCAATTTGTTGTAGCTGAGTAATGTTTCTTGCCACCGAGGATGCAAAGAGATACTCCAATCTATCACATTTTTCTATTTTCATTATCCTTAATTCGCGGAACGACCCTGCATTGAGTTGGCTATGACATATCTTCTCCAAATTAATCAAATTACGAAGGATCAAGGACTCCAATTTGGGAAATGCTAGATTCCAAGCAACTGACTTAATGATATATAAAAGCTCCAGACAATTTTTTACAAGCAGATGCTTCAAATGTGGAAAACCATCCATATCGAGTTCATAAAGAACATTTCTAACACCATTCATTTCCTCTAGAGAAAGATCTTCAGTCATCTTCAACAAATTTTTAATCCCAGGCCCCAAATAAATGCTATTGTTGATCTTGAGTTTGAATGTTCTTGAAGTTGAAAGGTCATATTTACCGGACCACTTCCATTTTTCTCCTATAAATACCTTATAACTTTTCAACTTCTTAAAGAACAAGTCTCGTGGCATAACTCCAACATCCTGAATATGAAGATGTAAAGCTGTTAGGTTAGACAACTGCTTTAACTCTCCAAGACTAGCATTTCTTCGTCCTTGATTATCGACTCCTTCAACCTCCCATTGAATAGAGGTATTGCCCATATATAGTTCTTCTAATTGAGACAAGCAGGAGATGACATTTGGTGCAATGTATCTAAGGTTTAAACAATGGCTCAAATCTAACAACTTCAACCGAGTCAACTGTCCGATTTCTCCAGGCAACTGTTCAATATCAGATTGTAGAAAGCTAAGGATCTCTAATGTCTTTAGCTTTCCGACTATTGCTACATCTCCTAGCCGGTTTCTATCCAAACACAATGTTCGAATGTTCTTCAGGCAATAAAGTGATGAAGGCAATGACAAGAATTGTATTCCGCTCAAATCTAAAACTTTCAATTCTTCCATTCCTTCAAAAAAAGTATCTGGGATTTGTAGATTTTTGTTAGTTATATCTAGCAAAAAGAACTTGAGTTTTGGACATTCCAACTTTTCGGGAAGCTCACCATAAATATCTTCAGACGGCAAAGATATAGCGGTTGAATCTTTTTTCTCCTCCAATACTTCCTTCAAGCCAGTGACATTTTGAATATTAAACATGAACTTATCTGTTGAGGCAATCGATACAGCAACAGCATGAATAATGTCATGCATTTTAACTCTGTCGTCATCGTCATCGTCATCCAACAATAAACAAGAAGCTTTCAGATGATCAATCAACCTCTGCAATCTATTCCTTCCTTCTTCTAATGTATAACCATCTCCAAAAAAACTCCAACCCATACTATATTTCAATAAGTCACCTATGGATATACTGCTGCTTGCAGTTACTAGAGCACAAAGAAGAAAGAGTGCTTTTGCTTCCTCATTTTTCAAAAAATTGTAACTCAGTTCTATAGTAGAGTACAAAGTTTCATCCATATCTAGAATGCATCTTGGATTGGACCTGTTTAGTTGAACCGAGGCGTCTTTCCAAGCATGAAGACTCTCACTTTTCAATGCATTTGCAATTGTTGAAATTGCAACCGGTAGACCTGCACATTTTGTAACTATCTGAACTGCTACAGGATGAAAATCAAGGCTTTCTGCAGAATCACCCACTATCTTCCCAAACAAATTCCATGAGTCTCCATCAGATAAAGGATGAACAGGGATGTTCTTCAGAATCTTCATATCTTTTTTTAATACATCCAGATTTCTAGAAGTTAGCAATACCACGCATCGCCTCACCTTGTCATCTTTTCCTTGTTTGTCAGCTCCCCTGGAAGGAATTCCAATTGCATCCAAGTCGACTCTTGTCCATATATCATCGAATATTACAAGTACATTCTTCTCCTTCTTTATCCTATTCCGTAGTAAACCACCTCTCTGATATTCACCCTCCTGCCCAAATTCCAGGCCTAAATCAAAAGCTATTTTTTCTTGAACGTTTTTGTAGTCTGGGGTTTGTGTTACCTCAGCCACGGCCACCTCATCAAATAACTTGTTTTCCCTGGCCAGCCAAGCTACTTTTCTGACCAGTGTGGTTTTGCCCACCCCTCCCATCCCATACACCCCAATCATGTTAACATTAACATCCTTCAATGTGTCCATAATTTCTTGCAAAACTTGCATTCTAGAATCAAAGCCCTCGTAGCCTCTAACATACATGGATTCTGTCCTCTGTAGAGCAGGACGGTAGGAAACATGACTGAAGTTTCCTTTCCTCAAGAGATCCGCACCATCAATTGTGGCGTTCATTGCTTTTTTGCCAAGCCTGTAACGTTGAATCAAATTAGGACATGACGCCAATTTGAAACAGCCGCCCTTGTTTGCTTTATCTTCATCCTCAATGATAGATTTTGCTACCTCTTCAGTGAACTCATGCACGTCACTCAGCCATGTTGTAACAAGTTCATAAATCTCTTCCCCTTGTCTTTCAGCAGACTCTGCAGGTTTCTGCACCATTTGTCTTTTATTTCTGAGCTCCAGAACTTGTTTCTTGAGGTTGTTGATGTAGTTCTGGTACTTGAACACATAAGAGATCTGCTGTTTAAGCAAACCATATATATCTGATGTAGCCTCTTTTACAACTTCTGTGCTAGCAGCCACAGCTATTTCTTGAGCCATTGCCTAATTCTTGTGAGATGTTTATAACACTGGATATAAAGAAAAAAGTGAGAAACGGTTGATAGGAAACAAAGAAATAGAAACAGAGTTACTAAACAAAACACTTACAAGGAAAGCTGGGTGAACAGAATCTAGCTTTAAGCAAACAGATGTCTGCTAGACAAGTGCACTCGGAGCTATCTCTCTCTCAAAGCTGCTCAAGGACCAGTAGTTGTGTGTTTGATTATCTTTTCTGCAAGCAAGAATCAAACAGACATGTAGTTATTAATCCCATACATCTATTAATATATATTTTTTGCTATTAATTTCAAGCTGAAAATAATTTATAACCATTCCATGGCCTCTATGATAATGTTTTTGGTATTGTTGTATTGGAGATTATATGCAGTATTAGAAACATGATATCTCGGATGGCCATGATTTATGAATATTATGTGCAGATAAGAAATTAATATTAAGTGGGAGAGATAAGTATGCAATAATGCAACAGTTGAATTGAGTAATTATATATCTTGTTTCTATCTATCTTAAAACCTTATTTAGCCAATGAATGAGGCAGCAAACACTAATTTTGGTACACCCACTAACTACTGCTAATCATCTTAAAGGAAGCGACATATTTATGAATACTGGATATAAAGATAAAAGTGAGTAAAATAAACAGAGTTAATAAGCAAAATACTTGCAAGGAAAGCTCCGTAAACAGAACCTTAGCTTCAACCAAACAGATCTCTGCTATCAGAATCAGAAAAGTTAGAGAAATTTTTTTTTTTTTTTTAAAGGTAAATTTATGGATACTGAATATAAAGTACAGAGAATTGAAAGTGAAAACGAGTTAAATTTATGGATACTGAATATAAAGTACAGAGAATTGAAAGTGAAAACAAGAGTTAAGAAAAAACGCAGAAGAAGGATAAGAGTAAAACAAGTGCAGCTTAATGGCTTAATCTGAGAGTAAAAGCAAAGTATTCAAGGAGCAGATTGAGTGTTTGTTTCTCTTCTTTGTGAGCAAGAATAAGCAACAAAGATTAATAAAGTCTTTGTTTAATTTAAGAAACAACTCTATATTCATACAAAAAGGTCTCGTAGGAATGGATTTTGGAGAAATGATGTTTACCGAGGATTCAACGGTCAACTAACAAATATTTGTATAATTTAACACAATTTGAACTATATAAAATTATAATACAGTTAAGGAGGTAAGCATGTATAATTTATATGAATAAAGAATGAGCACTATAATAATACCTGTAAAACAATGGACCAGTCAAATGAAACTTTACTTTAAGCAAACAAAATCACTTATAAACTTACGAGAAACAATATATAGTATTGAATTTGAAACAATCTTAGAGACTAATAGAAACCAAAGAGTAAACAATCACACCCAAATAACATAAACAATAAAGAGAAAACACATGCGCGATTTATCTTGATTTACCCTAAAAATGTTATATCTAGTAGAATAAATATTATTGAAATATCTCTTCACCTCTCTCGTTATAATAAATATATTTACCTATGATTTGTTATATCACTCATACAAGAAAATAATAAATTTATATACTATGTTTAATGAAAAAAACTTAATATTACTGGGATTTCATTTCCTAAGCTGTGCCCCTTATTGTTGAAGCATTGGAAATTATATGCACTAGTAGAAATTTGAAATTGTAAGAAGAGATCAATGTGACAATCTGACATTCTAAACCTAATAAAACATTGTCCATGAGAAGGCCATAACTTTGTCACGTGACGGCAACCGACAAATGCCTTGGTGCAAGAAATGAACTTGGAGAAAGTGCAATTATCTGTATAATGCATTAACAAATTGAATTATCATAATATAAGATACCAAGCAAGCGTAGATTAAGGATCTAACACATAAAGATCAAACACCACCAACCTTTAGTTATTTTCTCATTTTAGTGATTTCAAAGACAGTCAAGTCTTTTAATCTAAAGCTTCAAATTCCTCTTCTTCATCCTTTTAAGGTGGAGTTTTATGAGTTACAAATACACATCCTAATACAAATGCTTCCTAATATGTTCCTTTTGTTGAGTTACACTTCTAAATATTCTTTTAAATTCTTTAAATCAGATATGGTATG